GATTTGTTGAATGTAAAACTGATGATCTGCCCTGTAAACTTTTACTCAATCGATAATCAAAACCTTAAGAAAAAGAAAATGTCCACACCAACTTTTGTTATTTCCAGCTTAAAGATTTTCCCTTGGACTACAATCCAGTGTGGCATCAACAGGTTAGAGCTGGGAAGTTGCAGCCATTTTGAATGACGTGTGTGCTCTCCAGTTATCCAGTCTCTGTACTCCCTTTACTGCATCAGTGGTCTGCTTTGCTCATTGATGTTACCTACGTGATGTTGGAATGTATGGATTTGTGAGCCCACACCTATCCTAAAATCCCAATGCAATGTCAACATATCAGAATGTTGTTTTTCCATTCTAATCTTTCAGACTTGAAATGTCTGCGTTCCACATTCAACCATATTATGGCTACTTCCCTATGAAATTGTTCTACCTAAAAAGCAAGGATGTAGCTATGAGGTGTTTTGTATTATAGACTTGTGACCCTAGAGATTCATCAATAAGTGTATATTGAAAAGCTACATGAATTAGGCATTTGTACAGGCACTTGGATGCTAAGATAAATAAGAAACCATCCCTGACTTTACATCATTTAAAGACAGACACAATAACACATATTATTCAAACTTATTTTGGAATGCTAATTTCAACACATGCAGTTTTAGGCAGCTGCCTAAAAGCATAATTCAAAGAATCTTAAAGTTGCAAGCAGGCACTTTTCTCTAGAGAGAATAATGGAGGACCTACGGAGTCCTCGTGTGGCGCTGTGGGCTAATGTGTCAGACTGCAAAGTCATTTGAACTGTGAGGTCAGTGGTTCAAGCTCACCAGCTGCTTCTTGGAAGCCTTATATGGAGTCGCTATGGGTCAGAATCGACTCAACAACAACATGGAGTCCTGGTGTGGCACCACAGGATAAGCACTTGACCATAAAATTGGTTTGAGCCACAAGGTTCAAACTGACTAGTCATTCCCTAGAAACCCTGGTTGCTTGTTAAGTGCCTTCAATTAGTTCCAACTCAGGTCACTATGAGTCAGAACCAACTAGATGGTACTTAACAACAACAAAGCTTTCTCAAATACCACCTTGTCACAAGACTATTAATTTTTTTGATTATGGAAAGTTTTTTGCAAACAGATACACATTTCATTTATTTTCAAAACAGCTCTGATGAAGGCCAGAACATACAACTTATATCCCTCATTAATGTCACTAAGTAGGAGGTATTGGCTCTGGGATTAGGTATGAAATATTTAAGGTTCCCTGGCAGCCCTTAAGGACATATCATAAACTGGTATCGATACTTCAGGGTTACACAATGGAAACATCCAGACAGGTTTTGTTTTGTGGTTTAGGGTTTTGTTTGTTTGTTGTTGTTGTTGTTGAAATCCTCCATGCTGTTTTTAAGACAAAGATATAAGTGACAAGCTGATTATCAGGTATCATTGTGTTTAAACAGATGATCAAGACGTACAGTGGATCTAGTGGTCATATTTTGAACACAAAAATCAAATATATATACATTGACGACAACAAAACCAAATTTTTGAAAATGTAAGACTTCTGGTGCCCACAAAGGTCAACAGAGTCAGTTCACTATCACACATCTTCTATATGTAGATTCTACCACCTGTTTTGTCAGTCTGTCATACTGTGGTGGCTCATGTGTTGCTATGATGCTAGAAGTTATGCTTTTGGTATTTCAAATACTAGTAAGGTCCCCCATAGGGGACAGATTTCAGCAGGACTTTCAGACTGTCAACCTAGGAAGAAGGTTTGATGGTGTACTTCTGAAAATGAGCCAATAAAAACCTTATAGAGCACAAGAGAACATTGTCTGATTCTATTGCTTTGGATACATCATCACAGGTGCCATTTACTAGAGGAGAATGGCATGCTCCGCAAAGTAGGAGCCCAATAAACGTGTGGGAAACTCTTGATGAAATGCAGTGGCCAACAGCCACAACAATGGACTCAAACATTCTGGTGATAGAGAACAACGCAGAATGAAGCAACATTCCGTTCTTTTGTAAATACGGTGGCCTTGAGCCAGAGTTGACCAGATGCAGCTAATAACAATAGCAGAGCTGGATTTTAGTGGGATAAGAGTGGTAATGCCTCCAGTGATAGCCAAAACAAGGGTCTTTCTCATTGTGAGCCAGGAATTTTCCATTTAATCCTCATGACAACCCTGTAAAGTTGTTAAGTGCCATTGCATCTGTTCTGACTCATAGCAACCCTGTATAGACAGGGTTTCCAAGGAGCAGTTGGTAGGTTTGAACTGCCAACCTTACAGTTAGCAGTCCAGTGCTTATCCTATAGCACCACACCAAGACTGGTAAAGTACTTTGTACACAAGAAACCAGAAGTATAGAGAAAAGCATGGTACCTTAAATGTACTTGACAGTGAATAAGGAAGACTGTAGAAGAATTGATGCTTTTGAGTTATAGTGTTGGAGGAGAATAATGAAAGTGCTGTGGGCTGCCAAAAAGATCCAACAGGTCTGTGTTGGCAGAAATGCAGCCAGAGTGCACCTTGGAGGCCAGGATGGCCAAACTTCATCTCTCACATTATCAGGAAGGGACCAGTCGCTGGAGAAGGATATCATGTTTGGTAAGGTGAGGGTCAAATAAAAAGAGGAAGACCCCCAGTGAGATGGATTGGCAAAATGGCAGCATCAATGGGCTTAAATGTGGCAACAATTGTGAGGTTGGCCCAGGACCATCAGTGTTTCGTTTTGTTGTGCATAGGGTCGCTATGAGTCGGTACCGACTTGATGGCACCTAACAACAACAAGGCTGGGATTGGTTAGTTTTGCCCTCCAGCTAGGTTTAAAAGGAGCCATCTCAAAAGCAGAGATGGAGGATCCTAGAACTATCAAGAAAGAAGAGCATAAGCGGACCATGAGACGGCAAGACGCAAAGGCAGAGGCAACAGCAGAGGCGGTGGCATGGAGAGACAGAGCAGCTTCGGGCTTTAGGCCCATGAACTGAATAAAACTGAGCACCTACAGGGAGACTGGCTTACAGAATGTGCCCTTTGGGCATTCACAGACTGGCTAAAAGAACTTTGTAACAAGTACTGAGCAGGGCAGAGGCCAAGGGACTACAAGGTTGAGAGGCCAAAAACAAGAGTGAGGCATGCCTGAAGTATGGCAGACAAGAGTCATTCCTGACTGGAGAACTGCTGCGTCCTGAATTGGTTCTGATCCTGAACTGTCCCCTGTTCACTTACCCAATAAATCCCATATTCCTGAGTATTGTTATGAGTTCTGTGTGGTCATTGCAATGGATTATCAAACCCAAATGTGAAGCACAGAGTGCTTTGGGAGGAATGGCTGGTGTCAGAATAGGGTAAAGAAGGCTATAGGGTGAAAGCATGTCTGACCTCTACCTTCTAGGAATCAGTCTTGAGCTGATTTTGAGTTTGGTTCTCTGTCCCTCTCGTGAAGTCAGAGCAAGTCAGACTTGGGCTCCCACATGGTTTTAGCACCATGTTAGTTACTTAATATCACACTGTTGTGAGCAGATAGGTGGAACTTGAGGAAAAGCAGTCAGGTCTAATGTCTTTATGCTAAAACACCATGCCATAGTATCTTTTGTAATTAACCTAAGCTACTGTTGTTGTGAAGTGCTGTTGAGTCGGTTCCGACCCATAGTGACCCTGTGTAAGGTTTCCAAGGAGCAGCTAGTGAGTTTGAACCGACAAACTTGCAGTTCAAATGGCTTTTCAGTCTGGCGCATTAACCCACAGCACCACACCAGGACTTCACCTAAGCTATTAGAAAATCCTAAAATGCTTACAGAATCATCTAAGAAACACCAAACTGTTCTTAAATATAGCTTTACCATTCAATTTGTTTATTAAATTCAAATTTTCAAAAATTAGTTCACCCAAATGCAATATTTTCCAAATTAATCAAGTCCCCATTCTCAAGCCATTCTGAGTAAATAAGAATTTTCCTCATAATCAAGCCTTCTTTATTCATGCATGCCACTTTCACTAACTATGTATGGGTGCTTCCATGTTTCACATGAAATTAGGCAAAAAGAAAAAGTCTTACCATTTTCTAGGAAAACAAAAATAAAGCTGCGATCTACTTGCTACTTTAAAGTATCACCTGAGAATAATAAATGATATTTCATTGGAAATTAGAAACTAGAGTCTCTACAATGAAATCTAAAATGTTTTCTTAACCAAATAAAGTTGGTCACAATTGATCCGTTTTTAAAGAATTTCTCTCTCTTCTTCTTTTTTCTTTCTCCTTGGGATCAAAAAGATGCAAACTCAAAAATGTGTCTTCAAAATAATACCTCTGACAAAGGTGTTTGCTCTTCCCTTATTATAATTTTATAAAAAAAACAAAATAAACATTACAAATTACTCAATTTCAGCTGCATTTTCATCTACTTAAAGTGTTGTAGCTTGTGACACAAAGGAAAAGTGTGCCAGGACGCAGGAGAGCTGGGAACTGTCCACTAACCCATGTCTGGGGAAGTTGGCTCATCCACCAAAGTGCTCACTTATATGTATGCACTGAACTTAAAACAGTAGAAGCTTCAGAACCCTTCATCCTTTTCAGATGTGGAAAAAAACAAGTACAGATCCCATGATGGAAATGACTGTCATTTAGGTGGAAGAGGTCTTCTCAAACCAACTGGCCTGCCCCTTAAAGAAAACTGAATTTCCTCAGCTATATTTTTCTGACATTTGAGGTCTTCTAGGCGCTTCATTTCATAATTCCTTTCAACTTTGATGCCTGAAAAACAAAGTACAAATAGCAAGTGCATTTTCACCAGGCATGATTTAGTCAGAACTGAATATTTATCACACTACAAAATTCACATTTTGAAATACTGGAAGAGATGACAAGGTTATGAGATGGTGACTATGTCTGTGGATGAGCATAATGAAACATTTCTCTGAAAATGGCAAAGTGACACATGCACAATTTAACTTACTATAGTAAATCTTAAGGAACTTACTTACTTTCTGCTGAGGGGAGCAGACCAGTCTTACAGGTGGTACACTTTGTAAGGTGTATAGGACTACCAAAGCTAATTTCCTCCAAGAAGGGCAACTTGATGTTGGCTAGGTTTGTGTACCAGGTCTTTGTAAGCAGTGCAAGATCCCAAGATTCCTGTCTGGGACATAAATTCATTAATTCATTCAATAAATATTTAGTATGGCATACAGAAGATATCTTATTAATTCTCAGTCCCACTTCCCACTAGGTTTGTTTTGTTTTGTTTTTATTGTGGTATACATATCAGTAGCAAAACCTTTGCCATTTCTATAATCTTCATATACAGTTCAATAACATTAACTGTGTTCTCATCACCATTAAATTTTCCATCATTCTTAGCAGAAACTCAGTTCACTGGATATTTTGATTTACAAGAAGGTATTCAGGATTTTCCAGAGTTGCAAATCTAGCCCAGGAGTAAGGGCCTTATATTAACTACTGTACAGATACATTGAAAAATGACCAAAAATTATGCCAGGAACTTCTGTTAACAATACAATCTGCCTGGAGTCAATCCAACCTTTCCATCTTGTTTAAGAGGGCATAGTCAAGAACTGTGAGCTCCTAATCCTTTACGGCTAACCAAAAATATGTTCACATTAAGAAAGAAGAGAGAAATCATGCATTGAACATGGTGCTTGGCATATATACTAAGTGTTCTGAATGTGTGGTCTAATTTTAACCCTTACACTAACCATGTAAATGTTATCATAATTTTATACACATGGAAACTGAGGCTCAGCAGCTAAATAATTAAGAACCAGATTTAAACTCGTATTTAAACTGGGTGTATTTGAGTGTAAAATCCATGCTTCTTATCTTTAAACATTTCTAACTCATGAAGAACTCAAGAGCTTTTATTTTGCAGAATTAGCATAGTATTTATTTGCAATCATTAGAACCAAGAGAAACCTTAGAAAACAGGGAACAGGAGTAAAATCCCAAGCTTGAACATTAGTCACGAAAGTTTAATGCACTTGACTGTTAATCAAAAAGTTGGAAGTTAGAGTCCACTCAGAAACGCACAGAAAGAAAAATGTGTTTCCAGAAAATCGACCATTGAAACCCCTATGGAATTAAGGGTATAACACTGGACTGTGGACCACAAGGTCAGTGGTTCAAACCCACAAGCTGCTCCTTGGAAACCCTGTACAAGGTTGCTTTGAGTCAGAATCAATTAATGCATATGAGACAACTGGAAATGCAATATCTTAGATCAGCTGTACCTTTATCATCAAAGAGATATCTTTGCTCTTTAACACTTTGAAGAGATGTTTTTGCAGCAAAT